TTTTGTGGTTTATTTCCAAGCTGTTCTATGAGGGCACTGGGACAGGAGATTTTCACTAACCACAGAACTTTACTCATGAGACTTGCTGTGTTTTCTACTCCAGGTGATTTTCTCCAGTGCAGGTATCCCCAGGAAGTGTCTGGGTAGGTTCCTTGGACCTTTGTGGCTGTCTGAGACACAACACAGACTCCAGGGAGAACAATTTTGTGAATAAAACAGTCCTTTTAAGCATTCATGACAGCCACTTTTTATAATGTTCTGAACGAGAGAAGACATTTCAGGCACTCTGTCTACAGGAAGGAAGCAATTATTTTATTAGCACTTTGAGAAATTAAATTATGTGAATTATGGCAGAATAAGTTTAGCAAAATGCTATAATGTAAGAAAACAATTAAAAAGAGTTATATAAGGTTGGGTGGCTTCTTTATTCTGATAAAGTGTGCAGTTAATTGATTGTCACATGGCTGTAATGTACCAGGAGAACTGTGAGAGCAAATAGAGAGGTCTTTGCTCAGGAGAGGTGTTGGAACGCTGGAAAGTGAGAATTTTAAACTTTCTGTGCTGTCAGGCTCTGACCCCCAAGAGAACACTGCATTTGGCCTGAGGCTGTGGAGAAGTTTTCCAAAATTGAATGATAAAACTGAGATTATGAGTGTGAAGTTTGAATAGAAGTGTGTAATATCACATAGTAAAAAACTTAGAATTTGAAGTTTTAAAATATAAATAATATAATATATATAAATTTTAAAATGTATTTTAAAACATATTTTAAAATATAAATATAATATATATAAAACAAAATAGAAGATTTAAAACAGAAACTAATCCTTCTTCTTCACCTTCTTCTTCATAAGTAGTCCTGTATAATTAGATTTAAATATCCACATAACAGAGCACAAGCAGTTAGTTAAGTTAAAACTAAAAATCATTTAAGTGTCATTTCTTAATTAAACAAAATGAATTAAATTCAAATTAATTACGATGGGGAAACCTCCAAACTGTGGAAAGGTTCCTGGGGGATGAGCAGCAAAATGAGTGCCCAGAGTGCTGCTGCAGCAGAGAAATCCCAGGGCTGGGCAGCACCAGCTCTGCCAGGGCAGTCATTGTCCCTCTCAGCACTTGTCAGGCCATGCCTGGAATTCAGTTTTGATCCCTGCTATACAAAAATAAAGATGTAGACAGGTTGGAAAGGGTCCAGAGAAGGGCCACAAAGATGATGCAAAGCCTGGAAAGCTGCCACGTGAGGAAAGGTTGGGAATGTTTTAAGCCTTGAGGGGAAAAAAAGGCTTAGGGGAGAGTTTCTGGCTGTGTTGCAGTGCTTGGAGAACAGCTCCAGCTCCAGAATGCTCAGGGATGGGCAGGAGGAAGGGATTGCAGAGCAGCCTGCACAGTCCCCAGTTAAAATTCACATTTTCTGCTCCTGCCCAGCCCCCCTCTGCAGTCTGGTGGTTAATACCAAGCTTCACTCTTTCAGCAGCCTTGTTGATTTGGAAAATCCTCATCAGGATTCTGGCTAAGTCAGACTGGATGGGAAGCCACACAAATTTCAAAGGCAGAGCCTTTACTGACAACTGCACAGGATCCAAATTCCATGGCCTGAGCAAGGTGAACAGGAGGCTGCTGCAGGGACACACAATGTCACAATGTCACCAAAAGCTATCCAGCAAAAACCCAAATACTGAGAATTGCCTGACTCAGGACCAATGAACTTTGAACCAATTAATTTCTCTGGGTTTCCACTGTGTAGTATCTGAAAAATCCAATGAAATTCACGTGTCGCGGGAGGATTTTCTCTGCACAGCCCAGGTAATGTGTGGATTAAATTATTTCTGTGGCACATCCTGGCCAGAATAAAGCCATGCCTTGATTCTCTAACACTAAAAATGTTGTTGAATTTTTTTTTTTTGGCTTCCCCACAGTCTGGTGAGAGCAAGGGCTTGACCCTCTCTCAGACTTTTCACATCTAACTGCATCCTCTGTGGTGTGTGCTGCTGGGAAGCAGCAGGAACACAGACTAGGTGTTTTCCCTGGTGAAACCAGTGAGGAATCTGCTGCCTTTTGGCTCCTTTTTCTCCTCTGGAGGTCAGGATTGAAGGCACTCAAGATGATGGTACATGTTCAGGCTCAAATGTTGATTATTTCTTGTCCATGTTACAGTCCCACAGCAGTGAGTTCTGCAGTACTTCACTAACAAGGCACAAAATGGCCAACTCTCTCTTGCTACAAGGTCTTTTAAAGCTAAACTATCCAATTAAGAAATGACACCTGCATTGTTTTCTCCTTTAACCCAATAACTGACCCCTCAAAGCCTGCAGTGTGGACTGTTCTGTCCAATTACAAAATACCACCCAAACCCATGGAGAAGGAGAAGGAAAAGGAGCAGAAGGAGGAGGAGAAGGAGGAAAAAGGACGAGAAAGGGAAGAGGAAGAAGAAGAAGAAGAAAAAGGGGAAGAGGAAGGAGAAGGAGAAAGAAGAAGGAGAAAAAAGAAAAAGGAGAAGGAGAAGGAGAAGAAGAAGGAGAAGGAGAAGGAGAAGGAGAAGGAGAATCAGCCCTAAAACCTCCATCTTGCTCTATATATATTACTATGTTCTAAAACTCCAAACTCTAAGTTTCCCACCCTGTGATATCACACACCTCTATTCAAACTCCACACCCACAATCCCTGTTCTATCACTCAATTCTGGAAGCTTCTCCACAGCCTCAGGTCAATGCAGTGTTCTCCTGGGGGTCAGAGTCTGTCAGCACAGAAAGTCTCAAGCTCTCAGCACCCAGAACTCCAGCAGGGATCTGCACACACAATTCCCAGCCCCTCTTTGCACTCTGCCAGCAGCTGGGCTGAGCTGGAGCTGCTCAGCTGAGCTGGAACTGCTCACAGTGCTTGGCAGGAGTTCCCAGTGCTGGGATTTCTGTGTTCCTCAGGCATTGCATCACCTCCCAGGCGAGGCTGGCTGGGAACAATGGGCAGCCCTGGCCTCAGCTCCTCGCTCAGCTATTCCTGTCCAAGGAGCAGCAGGGTACTGAAGAGCAGCTGGGCTGATTTCATGCCTGATCTTAAGAAACCTGAGCTCTTCATCCAGCTGTTTATTATTATTTTTATAGAACTGCAGGTCTCTTCATGCTCCATTCTACAGCACAGAGAGGTTTTTTCCAACTTCCAGTGTGTCACTTTCTAAGAGGTTTGTAATTGGATCCTGTCTGTGTCAGCATCTCTGTCTGAGAGCTTTGCTGCTGTGGGCTGCAGGGGATGCATCTGAAACCCAGGCCTGGGTTTTCTGAAATAAATGGAAACAGCTAAATCTTAGGGATGGTCACAGGAGGAGGAGGCGGATTAGGCACAAAATTCACTTGGTGACCAAGAAAAATAAATTACAAGTCCAGGGAAGAAACACCTCAGGCAGTGTGGGTTACAATGGTGGAATAAATCTGCTGCTAATGCTTTATAAGAATCAGCTCTCTGGTTTATGTATCACTTCTGAACTCTTCATACACTCCACACCTCAAGAAAAAAAAAAATAGAAGGCAATGAATCACCCTGAACATTAATTGCTCACATTTGATTAGCCAGCCTTTGAAAACAAATGTGACACAGAAATAAAAAAAGCCATTGATAGCATTGACAAAACATCTCTGTCAGAGAAAAAAAAAGTTTAAAAACCCCAACAAATTTTTTAAAATGGCATAACTGCCTGGTGAGTACAAATGGCAGTGGATTTGGGGCTGTGGAGCTCCTGGCAGCTCACACTCGTGGTTCTGTCCCCCAGGTGTGTCAGGGCTGTGCCAGTCAGGCTCTCTGACAGTGGGGAGTTGTAGCCTATTGGGAGAAATATCAAAATACACATTGATTAGAGAATTAAACTTCACAAACACCCTTTCACAGCCAGCAGGGCAGTACAGCAAACTGGGAGGGGTGAGAATGCAGAAAACATTAAAAATATAAAGTTCCATTTAGCCTTGTGGATAACTTTCCCTTTTCTTCTTCTCTTGCATACCTATTTCTCTTCCAGGACATAACATTCCATGAATGATTATCTTATTATCACCAGATCCTGCATGCCACTAATATTGTTTTGGAGAATAAAGAGGATTAATAAATGTTAAATGGTATCTTGGAATTTTAAAGGAGAAATTTGGGGGAAAAATAACTGGATGTATGCACATGGCCCAGGAGACAGCATGTAGAAAAGCAAATCCACTTTTTTTAGTGGGCAAATCCCAAAATTAGAGTGTTTTTTTTCATGTTCTTGTCCCTTAGTATTTGTGTGAGTAAAATTGATTTTGACAGGCAGTTAGTTCCGTTATTTTCACTCCAGTTGGGTGGGTGAGATTTCTTCCAACTCTTGCCGAAACTTGCTGACAACAGAACTGAATGTTTGTGAAGAGGGTCTGAAAATTACTTCAGAGGGTTTGAAAACGACCTCGAAGAGGGTTTGAAAACGACCTGGAAGAATGCTTGAAAATTACCTCAGAGAGGGTTTGAAAATGACCTCGAAGAGGGTTTGAAAATGACCTCGGAGAGGGTTTGAAAGCGAGCGCGGTGTCCTGAGGAGGGGCAGGGCCGTGCCACGCCGGGTGGGACACACGGACACGGCGGGGCCCGCCTGGAGCCGCTCATGAATGAACTCCGGCAGAATTTTATTTTTTTATGAATGGGCGCTCGGCTGTGAATGAACAGCGCAGCTCTGCCACGCGATTGGTCCGCCAGGGTGGAAGCCACGCCCCACCCATCAATGGGTGACGGCCGAGGCGAGCGCTGATTGGCGGGCGTGCCCCGGCTCGCGGCTTCATTCACAAATTCGATCAAACAAAGGAGTGGGCGAGCCGGGCCGTGAGCGAGGGGCCAATGGGCGGCCGGGCCCGGGCCCTCGGCGGCCTCGGAGCGGGCTCGGGGCGGCTCCGCCGCGGGCTCCGCGTGGGCCGGGGCCGCCGGTGCTGAGAGCCGGCTCCGGACGGGACCCGACCCGAGCGGGGCTCCTGTCCCGGGGCTCGTCCCGGCCGGGGCTGGCGGGCTCGCTCCCGCCTCGCGTTCCAAGTTTCGGCAGCTGCTCCGTCTCTCCCGGGTCGCGGTGCTGCCGCTGCTGCGGATCCCGGCCGCTGGCGGCCACCCCGGCCCGGTTCGGCCCGGTTCCCCTCGGCCGGTACCCGCCAGATGCCCGAGGAGGATGAAGGGGTACCCGGACCAGCAGGTGCCGTTCACTTTCCCGCAGGTGAGTGGCGGCTCCGGGGGGAGCTCCGGGCCGGCCCCGCTCCGCCCGGGGCTCCGCTCTGAGCCGCTCCTCCCGCAGCAGCCCCCGGGCCCGGCGCTGCCCGCGGGCCGAGCCGTGCTGGGCGCTGGCAGGACTACCGGAGAGCCGCCCGTGCCGCCGGAGCAGGACTCGGAAGGTGAGGGGGACCCGGGGGTGGCCGGGCAGGGACCGGGAGCGGGAGCGGGAACGGGGCCGGCGCCTCCCCCGCTCCGCGCCCGGAGCATCCCGCAAGCAGCAGCGGCTCCTCTCCCCGCAGAGCTCTTCCAGGACCTGCGGCAGCTCCAGGAGACCTGGCTGACTGAAGGTAGGCTCTTCCCTTCTTCTTAAACTTCTGGAATGGTCTGGGGAGGTGGTGGAGCCACCATCCCTGGAGGTGTTTAACCAAGGCTGGATTGGCACTGGGTGCCAGGGTTTATTGAGGTGCTGGGGCTGGGTTGGACTCGATGGTCTTGGAGATCTCTTCCAGCCTGGGAATTCTGTTCTGTTCTTTGTGCTCACACCATTCCCACAAGGTCATTTCCTCTCACCAGTGACACCAGGACAAGAGGACACAGCCTCCAGCTGTGCCAGGGGCAGTTTAGGCTGGCCATCAGGAAAGAATCCTTCCCAGAAAGAGGGACTGGGCATGGAATGTGCTGCCAGGGAGGTGGGCACAGCCCTGGAGGTGTTTAACCAAGGCTGGATTGGCACTGGCTGCCAGGGTTTATTGAGGTGCTGGGGCTGGGTTGGACTCCATGATCTTGAAGGTCTCTTCCAACCCAGTGATTCTGTGATTTCCCCAGCTCTGCTCGGTTTTGAGTTGGTTTTGGGGTTTGTCCCGCTGGGTTTGCCTGGCTCCAAACAAAAGTGTTTTTTTTCCAGACTTGCCAGCCCCTGGCTGGTGCAAGGGAAGCCGCTGAATGGCACCATTGTGCCGGGCATTTGCTCATGAATGGGGCTTGGCTCCTGGCCCGCTTTCCTGGGTACAATTTTCCCTCCAGGCTGCTCGTAACTGGTTCGATTTTATGCTAATTTGCCACTTATCTTTGTAGGTTGCCAGAACGTTGATATTTTCTTAAACAACAAAGTAGTCTTTTAATTTGGGGAACAAAACGCTTCTATTCTTTTCTTTTTTTTTTCTTTTTCTATTTTTTAAATGTAATACTCCGTGGGGACCTTCCTGGAATTTACATACTTTTCAGTTTGGTGTCTTAATTGTTTTGACTTTGAAGTTCAAGGAAAACTTCGAATGCCAGGGAGTCACATTAATTCCAAGTGAAACTAATTCTAAACATGGTGATTTTGCTCCAATTCCAGATGATTCATTTTCAGAAAATTCAAAACACATCCTCGAGTACAGATTCTTGATAAATACAGAAGTACTTATTGTATCTGGTACTTAAAAATATTTAACAATAATGATGTAAAAATATGCATGGCATTTTTAGCAGGGTTATTTCCTCTCATTTTACCACAAGTGAGAGACAATCTTTTCAAACAATTCTTTTTCTAAGCCTTCAAAAATGTATTTGCCGACTAAGTAGGATTATTAAAGAGAAAAATCAGAAGTTTTCTGTTCATTCCAGAGTGAACTGAGATGAGTTGATCAGGCAGTGCTCAGGAGTGTGAGGATGCAGCAGGAATCACCTGGAGGCTGTTTCAATATTGAAATATCAACGTAACTTTTATCAGAAAAGGAAAATAGGTATTAATTGCTGGTCATGTAATTGACCTGAGCTTGATTTCTTTTAAATCTTACAAGAACTCCAGCTGCCAATAAGTTTGCCTCAAAAGGGAATTTTGGGAGAGTTTCAATTTTGGATTTTCCCATGTCTGATAATTTTTTAGCTCACCAGTTGAAGAATTTCCATTATTTCCATATTATTATTTCCATATATTTCCATATATTTGCCAGTAGCAGAGGGTTTGTAGGATGAGTTTGGAAGTCACTCACAGCACTGGAGGTGCTCTGCATCCAGCCAGGATTAATAAATGACAATGCAAACCTCACTGCATGTTTTTGGAACATTTCAAATTTAAAATTCCTTTTAATTATCACTTTGCATAGCTCCTAGCATCTAATCAGAGTCCAAGGGAAATCCCTGAGAAATTCAGGATGAGTTTTAATAATGTATTTTATTATTTTGGCCTGCATATCAGGGAACTGGTTTCTCCCATTATTTTTCCCATCTCCAGACTTGTAACAAGAAAAAATACCCTCTGAAGCAAACTATTGCTTTTTTCTGTTCACCAGGATGTCAAAATATTTTCCTGAATGGTGAAAATATTTTTTGTTAATGTCCTGTGTGTCAACATTTGTTCATGAGATGAAAGCATCAGAGCACTGAAGAGTACTTCCCTAAACAAAGCAGGAGAAAAAGAGAAAATAGTAAATATGTTATTTATTCTTCTCCTTTATGACATGTAGGGGTTTTTTTAAATTGTAATTTATTTACAATTTTTGGTGTTACTTTTTAAATAAAAGTGAAGAAAACCTAGGAAGGAAGCAAAATAGAAATAAGGCATCAGCCAAAAATGTTAATGAATTTAACCCATATCAATCTGTATAAATGTGTTTATGTGTGTCACTGTATGTATTGGTGTGATTTCAGTCATAGGTGTATCTCTGTTATCTTTTAAAAATATTTTTAGTAATGTTAATTAACACTTGGTTTCTCATTTTGAGAGTCAAAGAATTATTCTGCAGGAAAAAAAAAAAAGACAAAAAAATCACATGTTGAAAATAACATGACTCTTAAAAAAAAAAAAATACATGCTGAAAAATCCTGGGTCTGGTTAGTAAAAATCCATTTTTCCTCTGCACTGTTTTTACCAGGATCTGCTGCACTTGGGGTGAACCTGGCAGTTGGTAACTGGATGGAATTAACTTCAAGCCAAATTATTTATAGAAGTGCATCAGCATTCAGAGAAACAAACAAAAACCAAATTTCCTTGGAGAAGAGCGGCACAGGCAGGTCCTGTGAAGGAGCACATTCACATCTCGGTCAGAAAACTGAGGTTCCAGTGCTGCAGCTCTGGGAGGTTGTGGGGAAATGGGGGGGTCAGGGCTGCAGGGTGAGTGCCTGGAACAGGAGCAGAGCTGGGTTTAGATAACCTCATAAATTATCTCATAAAATTATCCCAATGATGTCTCGTTAATTATCCCAGTTCTTCCAAGTACAGCTGTGGGTTTGGGGAGAACAAGAAAATACCTGCTTTGCAACCTTATGAAGTAGGTAGTGAATATAAAAATTCACAGAATTCCAGAATCACTGGGTTGGAAGAGACCTTCAAGATCATGGAGTCCAACCCAGCCCAGCACCTCAATAAACCCTGGCAGCCAGTGCCAATCCAGCCTTGGTTAAACACCTCCAGGGCTGTGCCCACCTCCCTGGCAGCACATTCCATGCCCAGTCCCTCTTTCTGGGAAGGATTCTTTCCTGATGGCCAGCCTAAACTGCCCCTGGCACAGCTGGAGGTGTGTCCTCTTGTCCTGGTGTCACTGGTGAGAGGAAATGACCTTGTGGGAATGGTGTGAGCACAAAGAACAGAACAGAATCCCCAGGCTGGAAGAGATCTCCAAGGTCATCGAGTCCAACCCAGCCCCAGCACCTCAATAAACCCTGGCACCCAGTGCCAATCCAGGCTTGGTTAAACACCTCCAGGGATGGTGACTCCACCACCTCCCCAGGCAGAACACTCCAGAATTTTATCACCTTTCTGTAAAAATCTTCTTCCTAATATCCAACCTAAATTTCCCTTGGTGCAGCTTGAGAGTGAAATTGAAACTCTCTTTTGGCAAATTCTCTTTAGGGTTCTAGCCTGGAATCTGTGGTCAGGCACCACTGCCAGCATCCAGCCTTGCCCCTCATTTCCCATCTGCTCTGTGGCTTTCAGTATTTCATTCTCTTGTGACATCACCTGTGATGCCATGGAGAGCCTCAAGGCTGACAAGTCCCAACTCTGCTCATGATCCCCAGAATTTCTTCTATTCCCACGTTGCTTTTCAAAGATAATTCAGATAATGGGGGAAAAACATCTAGAAAATTCAAATTCCCCATCTTTTATTGCTTACATTTGCAGTTTGTTGTCATGCAGGTTATTGGAAGGAACAGCAATTGCAGAGTGAAGGGTTTGGCCAGTTCCATTCTTATTCACCACCTAGCACAGTGTTACTCCCTCAGGTTTTTTTTGGCTGACTGAGGTTAGTGGGCTTCCATCCTTTATGTCCCTCAATTTTGACTACATCACCTCTGTTTTAGAGCACAGGGAGTGCAATCTGTCATCCACTCTGCAATAACAAAAACTGCAGATTTGTCTGTTAGCAGCAGCAGCATTTCTGTCAGCAGCAGTGGCAGAGTTTATGAAATAACAACAATCTGCTGCAAGCTCTCCCTTCCCTGCAGTAAAAGGGATGTAAAAGTAATTGTTAGAAGTTATAAAATATGGGTAAGGCTTCTCCCAGGACTCACAAGTATTCATTAATCCCAAAGGGAAACTCTCCTTACTCACTAAAATCATCCCAGCAGAAAGCTCAGGCCTTTCCTGCAGAGATTTATTTCTGCCTTAGTGTTAATTATGCTAACCAAGTGCCAAAGCTAACTCCTCCCTGCCTCCTTTTCTCCCTCCCTCTCTCTCCTGACAGCTCAGGTTCCAGACAATGATGAGCAATTTGTGCCTGACTTCCATTCAGAAAACTGTAAGTACCACGGGGATGCTCACACCCCCTGGGGGAAGGGCAAATCCAAATTCTGCAGCCTTTTCTCCCCTGCCCCAGGCAATTTTCCCCATGTAAACTGAAATTAAACACTTTTACTGGTTGCTCTTGTTTCCCTCCTTTCTCAGAGCTTGGTCTCTGAGCCATACATTTGATTTTTTTCTCTTTTTGACCTAGAGCTGAGGAAAGGAATGGTCCCAGTTTCACTCTGGGTGAATCAGTGAGTCAGGTGTAATGTGAGAGCCTGTTCCAGCTGTCAGGGGCTGGAAAGAATTGACTGCTCCTAACACATCCAGCTTCTTGAAAATCCCATGGAGTTCAGGGTAGATTTCATTCAGCAGAGATTTCATTCAGCAGAGATTCAGACCCCTGCATTTGGAAATGCCTGATGATCATAGCTCCCCACAAAAGTGTCGGTTTGATCTTTCCTTTCTCTCCTGCAGTGGCTTTTCACAGTCCTCCTGCTAAGATCAAAAAGGAGCCCCAGAGCCCCTCGGAGCTGTCCTGCAGCCACGAGCAGCCCCTCCAGCACAAGAGCGAGCAGTGCCTTTATGCCAGGTATGGCTCACACAGAGGGGCAGCAGCTGCTCTGAAATCCAGAGCTCTGCATTGTCCGTGTCTTGGTTTGAAAAGCCAGGTGTGTGCTAAGGAAGGCAGGAGCCTCCCCTGAAATGGAAAATGTAAAACCCCCTCACCACACACCCCCAGCTAAACCTTTCCAGCCTAAGACAGAGGTGTTCCAGGTGCTGCCACAAGTCCTTCCTGGAGAACTGAAGTGCTGCAATGTCTGTTTGGCTCTTCCAGTGCCTATGACCAGCCCAGAGAGTCCCCCAGCCCCGGAGTCCTGATCCAGCCCCCACTGCAGCAGTTCCCCAGACAGGACAGGAGCTTCCTGAGCCCTGCAGGGCCACCCCACCCCACATCCAGCTGTGGGTTCCTCAGTGAGAGCAGGTGAGTAACCTCACCTGAGGAGGGGACAGCCACTGGCAAGGATTGCCCTCCTGGGTGGTGGAAGAGGAAGGGCTGCAGCATCTCGGTGGAAGTGCTCTGTTTCCAGCCTCCTGTGGGACCCAGCTCTGCTGCCTGGGGTGTGAAACCCACACCCTTAACCCTGCCAGATCCTGGCAGTGCTGGGCTGTGGGGCAGCTGCCCTTGGGAACATCCTTCCCTGGGATGTCATCCTTCCCTGTGGCAGCCACAGTGAGCTCCTGCAGCTCCAGGAATGGGCTGAGGAGGTTTCTGTCCCTCATCCAACCCCATGCCAGGGCTGGAACCAGGGGGCCCAGGAAGCAGAAACCAGAGCTGATCCCATGGGGTTCTCTACAGGCTCAGGGGTGTCCTTGTGTGAGGACAAGGGAAGAGATGAATCTGACTCCGTAATTCTTAGAAAGCTGATTTATTATATTATGATATTAAGTTATATTAAAAATGCTGTACTAAAGCTATATTAAAAAGAATAGAGAAAGGAAAGCATCAGAAGGCTGGAAAGGAATGAATAATAAAAACCTGTGACTGCTCAGAGCCTCAAGACAGCTGGAGCATGATTGGTCATCAAGTAAAAACAACTCACATGGACCAATCAAAGATGCACCTGTTGGTAAACAACCTCCAGACCACATTCCACAGCCATCAGATAGTTATTTTTCACATTTATTTTCTGAGGCTTCTCAGGAGAAAAATCCTGGCAAAAGGATTTCCATAAAACATCACAGTGACACAGGAGAATCCCCCATTGTTTCTGGGGCTGCACAGTCTCAAGAAAGCAGCAGTCTCACGTGCTCTCCCTTCTTAGCTCTGCCTATCAGCCACCTCTGGAGATGTGCCATTCCTTCCCAGCCTCCCAGGAAGACCCTGCTGCCTACCAGTGCCAGCTGCCCAAGCCCTGCCTCCAGTACCCTCAGCAGGGCTTCAAGCAGGAGCAGCACGAGCCCCAGCACGAGCCAGCAGCCCGGGCAGGCAGCAGGCAGCAGTACCCAGCAGCTGTGCTGGTCAAGCAGGAGCAGCTGGATTACCTGTATGACCCAGGTAGGCAGAAGTGACCCTTCCTGGGTGCATGGACATCCTCAGTGGGGTGAGCAGCTCCTTGGTGAGCGTGCAGCTGGATGAACTGCTGCTCTCTGAGCAGCAAATATCAGGTTTAAGAAAGGCTGTTTGTGTGTAAGTTTGAAACCTCAGCTATGCAGTGAGTCAAATCATCCACAGCCTTCATTTCCCTGGATGCTTCACTCTCAAGAGTGAAGCAGAGCTCCGGAGCAGCACTGCTCACTGTCAGTAGCATCTTCTCTCTGGGTAGCTGGCAGCTAAAACAGTTCTGATGTTCACTGCATCCAAAATAAGGCTGGGACACTCACCTTGCTCTGAGAAAGACTTTGTGGTGCAGAGCTGAAAGCTTGAGCAAGACAGGAGGTAGAAGGTGATGTTAAATCCACCCAAAGCAGATAAAAGCATCCCCACCCCAAGGGAGTAAGTAGCCAATATGACACTTAAAATTCATATTCATTCATATTCATTTCCCACACACCAGTAGGAATGAGGAAAAGGCTGTTCCCAGTTTCACAGGGAGTTTTTGGTTTTGGGGGTATTTGTGAGCTGAAGGTTGCAGAGAGTAAGTGAGGTCAGCTTTGAATATGAAAACAGCAAACAGCCACAGAAGGGAAGGAATCAAATATGTTAGAACTTGTACAGAAAATCTGTCTCGGACCCTTGCAGCAGAAGCCCCTCTGAGCACTGGGAAAGGGGCTCTGGGTGGGCTCAGCTCAGTGCCAGGGTGCTCTTGGTGGATCTGCTGCTTCCCATGGAAACAAGGCTCAGAGAACAGAGGTGTCAGGGCATGACAAGAGAAAAAAGTCAGTGATGCCAAAAATAGCTCTCTAGATGCCAGATATCTCCACCAGGTGATCCTCTTACTTTTCCACAAGGGATAAATCTTATTTTTCTGGCAGGTCTGTCCAAAAACTCACTGTCCTGAGATCACAATGCCCTCTTCCAGAGGGAATGATACTCCTGGCTTCCTGGTATTTTAATGGACATCTTGAATGGTTTCCTTTAGCAGAAGTAAACATAAAAATAAAAAGCTCTTATGAGGGGATCACTGTGGTGATATTGGTATTACAATTTCACTGGGTCCTTCTGTTCAGAAAATGTGCAAGCCCAGAAGATGGGAATGTGCTTTTTGTGGGAGTAGTTTATGATTGTAATAACACCCAGGCTGTCAGCTCAGAGTTCTCTTTCCTCAGCATCAGCAAAATATCTGCTGGCAGCCATGGCCAGACAGGTGTGAGAGGGAAATGTAACACAAACCTTTGCAGAGCTCCCAGCTACAGCTTCTGCTTCAGCTGTGTGCAGTAAATAAATTTGGTGCACAGAGAGCACTATACACTACACAGAGAATCAGGAAAAGATTTCCTGCTTTTTTTAACAAAGGCTGGTTTTTCTTTTATATGTTCTAAACTGTTTGTGAGAATGCCCCCTCATATGTGAAGAAGCCAGGGAGATTTGAGACATCTGAAATGTCATTTGTGAGACTCTGTAGAAGCATTCAGATGCTACAGCTCTCCATTTACATCCTCACAGTGCCCCTGGAAAAATGTAATGCCTTCTTACCTGGGAAAGCAGCAGCAAAGTGTGTAGTTATCTTAAACTGAGAGGTTCAAATTGATTTTGAATATTGATTTATACATGATTTTGTACAAAAGTGATGTGGAAGTGATTGGCTGGCTATCCTGGCTACTCTGAAGGATGGTGCCACAAAATCTTACTGCTCTAATCCATGGCTGGAAGGATAATGCACATGAAGCTGTAGTTACAGTCTGACACTCACCCTTTAGCAGGGCTCCAAGAGGACCTTGGTTAGACAGCTGCACTCACCTATCCACCTGTGCTTTTTAAACAAATGAGTTTGTTAATTGTTCTGTAGATGTTCCTGACTGTCCTTCCATGTACATAAATGCTGAGAGTTACCCAAGCCTTTCAAACACAGAAGATCCATTAGGTAAGAGGTGCAGGGACTGTCTTTTCTCCCTGCACAGAACCACCCTCTGCTCCCACCCTGCCTGGCTCTGACTGCTGATGTTGCTTTTTCTTTCAGGCTGCAGCTATGACAAGCAGATGAGGTCCTTTACTGATGATGTCTGTGTTGTTCCAGAGAAATTTGAAGGTTGGAGAAAGAATGGCTTGGAGTTTTGGTGTAAGATAGGGTTGTTCATCACCTCAGCCAGCCCCTTGGCTAGGGCCTACATAGCTCATTACTGTGTTCTGGCAGGTGTGTTGGTACCCAGCTTTTTGGTGTCCCATTTTTTGAGCTTTCTTAGCAGCAACCAGGCCTTCCAGCATAAGCAGCTTAATTGTGACTTATGTCAGAGCTGCTCTTGGAAGAGTTGCTCGTGAATTTGCCACTGGTTTATGTGAACTGAAATATTCCAGGTAAACATTTTGAAACTGTGAAATGTGCTGCTTTTTTTTTTTTTTTCCCCAGTTGTTTTTGCACTGTTCTCCTTAGAGATGTCTTGTTTGTCCTTCTCAGCAGGAGACATCAAGCAGGAAGGTGGAGGGTACCGGGAAGGACCCCCCTACCAGAGACGGGGCTCGCTCCAGCTCTGGCAGTTCCTCGTGGCTCTCTTGGACAATCCCACCAATTCCCACTTCATTGCCTGGACTGGGAGAGGAATGGAGTTCAAGCTCATTGAGCCAGAGGAGGTGAAACCATTGGGGTTCTCTACAGGCTCAGGGGAATCACCCTTTGTTTCTGGGGCTGCAAATTCCCAAGTGACTTTTCCTCTGCCCTCAGACCCTACAGCAAGTCAAGGTTCTTAGAAGAGGTCAAAACACTTGAGTGACACAAATACAGGTTAAGAAAGGCTGCTTGTGTGTAAGTTTAGAAGCTCAGCTATGCAGTGTGTCAAATTATCCTTCATTTCCCTGGATACTTCACTCTCAAGCTTGCAGTGGCCTGTGCTGTTTTGTCATGCTCCATATTGAGGCTGGCGTTGAGGTTTGGAGCTCTGAGCCCTACTGATCACAGAAGTTTTCATAAGATATGTCCTAGTCTGTCTTTATTTCAAATTTGCTTCCACTGAAGTGTAATTTCAAATGCTGCCATGTTCCAAAAAATCCAGTGATACTTGACAGTATCTGGGGGGAGTGTCCATAACATCTGTTCATCTCTTGTTCCAATTAGAGCTGCATTTAGCACTGTTCTTGCTACAAATCAAAATTTATGGGCACTTTCAGTGCAGATGAGTTGTCTTGGCAGGTTGACATCAGCTTAAAACAGACTTCTGAGTCTCATGGATAAAGCTGAAAATCATGTAGGAGTAGAAAGGCACAGGTCTCTCCAGTGTGCTCCCTCATGCTTGGTCTCCTGATAAACATGGAACCTTGAAAATTAAGTGTAACATAGGAAAAAGCAGCCCTTTAGCATCCTCAAACTTTCAGAGTGCTGGAGAGTGAGGAGCAGAGGTGACAGCAAATGAGCTCTGTAGTGGCCAGAATTTCTCTGTGATACAGAGTTCTTGAGTTCTCCTCATGTTTAAAAGCTGCTAAATTATTGATAAATCTATTATTGAAATGTTTGTATGTGTTATGGTACCATCAGTTAAAGGAGAACCACCTGGATGATGTTATTTTCTCTTGGGCTGGTGTCTTGGTTTGAAAAGCCAGGTGTCTGCTAAGGAAGGCAGGAGCCTCCCTTGAAATAGAAAATGCAAACCTCCACCCTCTGAATTATTATAATTTTTAAATTAAGGGGCTCTCAGGCAAAGATATGGGAATAGGAATGACAGTTCTTTAATAGGAAAATTTAAAAACACGAATGCAATAGTGCAAAAAAAGAAAACAAACGACGGGCAGAGTCAGTTTAGGAGCTGAGCCCTGGGTGTCAGGGTGGTGGCACAGTCCCATCCCATGGGGGCTCAGCCCTCCTGCAGTGCCAGCTGTGCTTCTGCTGGAGCAGGGATCCTGCACAAGGCTGGAGTTTTCCTCTGGAGCTCCAGGGCTGCTGGAGATGGGCCTGCTCTTCCTCTGGGAATGCAGTGAAAAAAGGCTGTCTTTGGTGTTCCAAACCTCAGATTGTATCCAGGTAGGAATGCTTGGCTCCTCCCCTGGGTGGAGCATCTCCCAATAAAATGATGGAATTTGATCAGCCATGCAGGGACAGTCACTGGCCCATTAACAGAAGATAATTAATAATTAATGGCCCATGAACAGCAGAGGTCTCCTGGAGGGAGGATTGGCTGTGGGAGAGATAAAGAAAACTGCCCAACAAACAGCAGATACCTGCCCCACCTCTGACAGATGGCAACAGAATACACCCCCAGCTGAACCTTTCAAGCTGAGCCAGCTGGGCTCCCTGCCATTGCCACTTTGGTGCTGTCTTTTTGCAGGTGGCCAGGCTGTGGGGGATCCAGAAGAACCGTCCAGCCATGAACTACGACAAGCTGAGCCGGTCTCTGCGCTACTATTATGAGAAAGGCATCATGCAGAAGGTCAGTTTGCAAAGCAGGAGGAAACTTTGTGCTTTAAGTGATGCTTCTCTTGTTTGAGACAAGAAGCCCTAGACAAAATGTCCTTGAGATAGCTGTGGGAAATAGTAAACGTAAGAAGATTTTTAGAAAGCTGGGAAAGCTTTCCAAAAATGCTAGAAACAGAAAGAGCAGAAAACTCGGAGCTAGCTGCAGCTGCAAAGTCAGAAAGTAGAAAAAGTTACTATGGTACAACAAGCAAGAATATTAAACAATAGCTTGAGTTTTAGGCTTGGCTAAGATACACCTTAAGGCTGCAGGAAAATATGCTTAGGAAGATAGTAGAAGTTTTTAAGTTGAATAATGGTATATTGTGTATTGTTAATAGAAAGCAGAGCAGCAAGCACTGTGTGAAGCAGGTGTACATGTGCTTTTAGTGATTGGCTAGAATAATTAATTGTCTGTAAGATTTAGCAATATGCTCTTGGCTAGAAAGTTTTTTAAATGTTCTGTAACAAAGAAGTTTTTGGCTGCTGCTGGCTGTACGTGAGCTTTGCCATCTTCCTGTTGTCTCAGCCATGTAATGAGGCTGATGATGCAAATAAAGCTCAAGGAACATCCCCCAACAGTCCTGTCCTGTTCACGAAAACAACCTCCAAACACATTAGCCAGGCATCCCAGACTTGCTTTCCCCAAAATTTCTCTTTGCTGTAGTTCAGTGGAGAAGCTGTGAAGGAGATGAATGTAAGCAAAGCATCAGAAATAAAACAAAGAGGGAATTAGGGTTTCTTTCTTTTTTCTGTATATTACTACAGCTTCAAGGAGATACAATCAGTCCTTCCTCTGGTGAGGGAAAGGCTGCCTGGAACTTGGTCCTGTGTGGTAGGGATGGTGTGTGGCACACCCAGGGCCCTGGAGAGATAACTGGGAGTGTGACTGAGTACAGACTGTTCAGGGACTGCTGCTGTTATCAGAGAGTGTCAGCTGGCAGCATCCCAGCTCCCAGGAGTGATATATTTTCTCCTCGAGCCAGGTCTTATAAGCTCTCAGAAAAAACATATCACATCTGAGATAGCTCAGCTACTTCAAATGGCATAAAATCAGCAGAATGGCTTCTGTGGTAGTGTTGGAAACAGAAAAGTTTTAATAAAAGGCAAAATAACAAAGCTCTTTACAGAGAAAGTCTGAGCTAGGGGCAAGAGGCTCTTGCTCCTGCTAAAACACCCCACAAAAGTGATTAGTTCCTTTTGTTATCTTATTTTTCTAGTGAATTGCTTAGGCAGGACCTTTTGGCCTCTGTCCAGTTGGGAATCCTTAGGTCTGAAGTGAAGTCCCCAAGATCCTATGGGGTGTCTTTTTATCAAATTGAGGAGAGAAACTTGTGGGCTTTTTTCCTTTTTAAGGAAACAAAGGATAATTTGGTCACTCCATCAACATGGGACACAGGAGCTGTTCCAGGGGAGGTCAGAGCAGCAAGAGGAGACCACAAGGCGAATTTTACAGCTCTGACCCATCTCAGGGCAGGCAGAATGTCTTTGCAAGCCTTCCCTGGGCCTGCAGCTCTCACCTGGGCTCCTCTCATCCCTGCAGGTGGCTGGGGAGCGCTACGTGTACAAGTTTGTGTGTGAGCCTGAGGCTCTGTTCTCCATGGCCTTCCCCGAGCAGGCGCGGCCGGCGCTGAAGGCGGAGCTGGAGCTCAGCGAGGAGGACACGCTGCCCCTGTCCCACCTGGGTGACAACTGCTCCTACCTGCCAGACCTTGGCAGCTTCCCTGCACAGCTCTACAGCAAAGGCTACACCTACTAGCACTGCTGGGAGTGCAGAGATGGATGGTTGGTGCTCAGCGTTCGTTCAGGGCAGCACCGAGCTCTGCAGCCCTGCTTTGGTCAGGACAAGTGTTCAGGTGCACGAGTGGAAAATCACCTGGCAGCAGACAGGGCTCTGGTGTGCTTGTGATAAAGTTTCTCAGCTGTGCAGAGATCTCAGGTGATTGGTGCCTCCAGATGTATCAAACCTGTCACAATCCCCTCATTGCACAGGGAGGGGATGCTGTCCCACCAGGGCTTTTTTCATTCAGAAAAATGAGGAAAATGATGAGAATGCTACAATGCTGCTGCTGACTCTGCTCCTCCTGTACATGTCCTGAACCTCTGCATGACCTGCTTTCAGCTCTGACCAGAGAAACTCACTCTGAAAGGCCACTTAAGCCTTCTTCCCAGGATGGCTGCAGGACAATGGTCACAGAGCTTGTGCCTTCTTTGAGGAATACTCGTTGTCTTGTACATGCATGCTCCTGCCTTATCACCTCCTTGCTCATGCCAGGAGTTTCTGGTATTCTGAGCAGAGTAGGTGGAGGCCTTGGCCAGGATTAGAGCAGTCCTGCAGTCCATGGCCCAAAAGCATTTAGGGGAACCACAGGGGAGCTTGATTGCAATGGTTTGGGGCACAGCTCAAAGCCAATGCCTCGTTCAGGCAGAGGGATTGTGGGAAGCAGCAAGGCCTGGGACACAGCTCAGTGTAGTGGTGTGGCTTTTCCAAACTGGAAAACTTCTTCAACAAACATTCTCAGGATATCTGAAGAGCTGCCAGGCTCTGGAGTGTGCCCATCCTGGGCTTGGCTAGAGAATTGTCTGAGGCAAGAGAAGAAGCTGGTGGAGATGTGATTACAAAATGCTATACAAAGTAACCTAAACCATACATAGATCTTAATATAGGAATTCAGACTTAAACTCCACAGATATTTGCATGTTTGAGGGGAATTCAGATGTGTTGAAAAGGCAGCTCTCTCTGCAGTCTAATGCAGCACATGCAGCTTAACTGAACTGGCAGGTTTTCCACAACAGTAAATGTTCATAACGGGTACCACATCCTGATTAAGAGGTGTTTAATTTTTTAATTAGTTGCTCCACCACGTTCCCAGTTAGAAAGGGAGCAGTACAGTGTACCCATTCAGCAAAAGTCTGTTTCCACTGCTTCAGATTGATGTTTCAGCTGCTGAATACAGAGCATTGCCAATCCTGCCAGCATGGTAGCCTGTAGAAAAAATTCTGTATATTGACTGAAAGCCTGATTTCCCTGGATGACTGTCCCCTGCATGGCTAATGCCAACCCTCCCAGCCTCATCCCTGAGTGCAAGAGCCATGGAAGGCAGCATTCCCTGCCTGAGGAGAGGCCAGACACTCAGAGCAGCCTGCTCTGCTGATGCCTTTGCAGGCCCTGTGCAGACTTGGTGCTCTGACAGTTCCTGACCCTCCTGCCTTGCCCTGCACCTCCCTGGCCAGCACAGTTCCCGTGCTGTCCCAGAAATGAGGGTGAAGGGGAACCCTTCCTTTGGTATTAGCTGCCTTTACTATTTATGAGTGTAAAAATACTATCATTAATAAATTGGTCTGTCTTTGGCCAGTGCAACCTCACTGAGTGCTCCTCCTTTACCTTCTGAGCTTGCTTTACACCTCCCCTTGGCACCAGCTCACAGCTTTGATACCTCCATCTGCAGCATTCCCAAGGATTTGACATTTATCCAGTATCCTTTGGGCCACCCCTCTGCCCTTCCCTCCAGAACAGGAATTCAGGGAGTGAGTTCACACATTTCTGTGCAATTTTAGCTGCATGTTTCATTCAGATTTCTCAAGTCAGGGCAACAGATAAACAGCCACAGAGCAGCTCCAGGAATCAGCAAGGTAAGGTTCTCCTCTTGAGGGGCAGTGACCTCCAAAGCTCAGAGATTCCTAATAACCAGATCAGAGAGTTGGGAGTCAATAAATCCACTCAGCATTTCCAGTTCAGCAAGTGAGAGGCAGCTGGGATGGGAGTAATAGACAAGAGTCCTAAAGTTCTCCTATTGCTCCTGAAAATGACCAGCAGCTTCCAGGAGGGAGATAAACAGCTCCCACACAACTCTATAAACTCCCACAGAAGCTTCCATAAGTCAGAGACTAAGGAAGAACTTGTTCTTATTCCTAAGCACCACAGCTACCTGCCTTTTAAATCCCCTCCAGGGTGGTGACTCCAGCACTGCCCTGGGCTGCCTGTGCCAATGCCTGGCAACTCTTTCAATGAAAAATTTTTCCTAATATCCAGTCAAAACCTCCTCTGGCACAACTTGAGGCCATTTCCCTTTGGCCTATCTCTGGTTGCATGGGAGAAGAGGCCAACACCCACCTGAACCAGCAGGTGAATTCACCCACCTGGCTCTAACCTCTTGTCAGGGAGTTGTAGAGAGTCAGAAGTCCTCAGAGTCCTGAGCCCCTCAGCTGTTGCTCATCAGAGCTGTGCTCCAGACCCTTCTGAGAGAGATTAAAACAGTTAATGGCTCAAACTTTGTTAAAATCACCCAAGGGTTTTTGCCCATTGCAGCAAACTCTGCAAAGAAGTATCTGCACCAAAGCCCACCCTACTGGCCATAACAGGACTCCTGGCAGGAATTTGAGATAAGATAAAGCTGGCACTATGGGCCAATTATCTCAGATCTAAGGAGAAGTTAACAAGGCTAGGGGAGAATGTATCCACAAAGAAAGCTCAACCCAGCAGCTGTGCTGAAAATCAGCTCTGGCTGGGTTCAGCAGGGGTGCACAGCCCAGACCCATCTGCTGTGGCCAGGTTTGCACATTCTTCCCCCCAGGCAAAGGGGAAGGAGAGTTTTTGGGTGTGATTTCCAAACATCTGGTACAGAGGGGTGAACACTCATCCCCTGGCTACAAGCCAGGTAAGAAGCAGACCCTGCAGAGTCCTCCCTTACACAAACTGGGTGTGGTGTAAAACAAACCACAGGTCACATTCACATGAGAGGCAGTCTTGGAAGGGATCACAAGTCTCAGAGACCCCCAAAGTGCCCCAGACTCATTTCTGAAGACTGCACAGGATCAACAAGTGTTGCACCAGAACCAGTCTGTTGTAAAGACACTGCAGAACTCCCCAGCAGGAAGGTGTGTGGGCATTCCCATCTACACCTGCATGTTTATTAACCCACTGAACTCTGCTTCATGGAACCCCCACCACCAAGAAGACCAGAAGAGAATCAATGGGACACCACTGGATCCACAGGGTGAACAGCTTTTTAATCTGTCTCTCTGTCACTCTCATTCTCTCACTCCCCACTTCTCCTTTTCCTATTCATTTCTCTCTCTCTACCTCATATTTACAGTTAAATAAAATCCATACTATTGGCTTCAGCATGTCCTCTCTGTCACTCTCATTCTCACACTCCCCCCACTTCTCCTTTTCCTATTCATTTCTCTCTCTCTACCTCATATTTACAGTTAAATAAAATCCATACTATTGGCTTCAGCATGTGGTGTAGCTTGCATCTTAATTCAGGTAGAAGGATTGGATCCTAACACCCTCCCCAGCTCCACTGGCCATCTCTGGACACCTTCAGCACCTCAACATCCTTTTTGTACTGAAGGGCCCAGAGCTGGCTGCAAGATTTGTGGCCTCAGGAGTGCCCAGCACAGAGCCACACCATTTCTGGTGGAGCTGTAAACCCCTGAAGGCTTTGCTGTGCCTGCCTTCAGCAAGAGCAGCTGCACAAACAATCACTGTGCATGCCAGGCTCTGCTCAGCATGTTAATAACCACTCTCCTGGCCCCTAGGGAACCGTGGAAATATCAGGTGAGAAAGCAAAGCAGGAGAGAGGAAGGTGCCTCAGGGGAGTGTACAAGCTGAGTTTGTAGAACCTCAGTTCTTGCTGAGCTCTGGCTTTATGGCACCTGTTTCCTAAATTATCCTAAATTAGCTTTAAGCATGTTTTGGAGGCATTCCATTCCTGTCCTTTTTGCTTTGACTCTCTGAGTCCAAAGTTACAAAGTTTGTAATTCCCTTTAATTTTATGATGATATAACATGAGGGAAAGCTCAGGACATTTAACAACATCCCTGCTCACCTTTGTACAGAGAGGTATTTCCAACATAGCTACTTTTCAATGTGAAACATTCTTCCAATTCACTGTGTAAAACAACCAGTCAAGCTACTTCTCTTCATTTCAAAAATAATTTTAGCAAATGTCCCAGCTTTGGAAAAAAAATAATTGGAGTCAAATAAATTTCATCTGTTAGCAACAAAAAATAAAAATATTTTACAGATAGTTTGGGCAAGACACAGCACACACTGGGCAGTCAACTTCTTTTTAAAACAAGGAACTGTTACACATTTTTTACAGACATTTTAGCTGTAAGAGCTCATTCTATTACAAAAACCCAACAGCTGTGATGTCACCAGACATTTCAAGTGAAAATAAAGCACATGGCACATTGTATAAAAGGTCTAAATATTTGTAACCACTTACATTTCCAGATGGAACTGTGCTGCAGAAGGGATTACTGGTTGATAAACCCTGATGAGGATGAAGGGTAAGTCTTGCAGCCTGACCTGTGCCATTGTCTAAATATATTCTAGCTGGGTTTCAAGAATTTTTACTGCCTTATCCCAAAGCCGGAGATACTAAATATCTCACTACAAATGGCTTAAATAAAATACAAGTAGTTACATTGCATGGGAAAATGCAAAAACTTGGTGAAATAGAGAACAGGCTGCTCCCAAAAAGCAGTCACTGACCAAGAACGTTAAGCAGAAATAAATCCCTTTTAGCAGGGTAAAAACACAAACTATTCCAGCCTCTGTTTGTCTGGTCACTCAGAACCCAGTCAGGCTGGTGAACAACCAGTTTTAAATCACCATTTTTTTGTGTTGTTCAGCTCAGTACCCAGACTCCTGAGTCTTAGATTTTGTCTCTTAAAAGGGGAATCACTAAAGTGCTCCGAGACCCACTCGTGAGAGGCTGCAGTGGCCTGTGCAGCTGCAGCACATCTGGGCTGCCCCTTGAGCTCCTGTTCTGCCAAAGCTGGCACTGCACAGGTGAGCTGCATGGCAATGTCTGTCCCCCAGGACACTGGCAGCAGCGCAGAAGTCCCAGTCCCACAAACATGAAAGCAGCAGATGCAGGAGGGCGCCGAGCTCAGCGCCGGCGGAAGGCGCGGGAGATCCTCCAGGCGTTGGGCTCCTCGTAGCGGTTGTAGAGAGGCTCCAGCCTCTGCTGCTTCTTCTGCTTGCTCAGCTTGGTTGGGTCAGAGACCTTGAAGAAAGCTGGGGCAAACTCCACCAGCCAGCGAGGATCGATGGTTGTCACCTCCCGCATGTACTCCTTGGTGGTCAGCACCAGCTCGTGATACACCACCCTGGGAAAAGGAAATCCTGGAAATCAGTTTTTTCAAACAAGAAGCAACAAGGCAAGGGCTGAAAGAGCTAAGCTTGCTCCTTTTACGCTCCAGAAGAACCATCCAGAAGAGCTATCCCTCTGGATAAGGGACTGAGCAAGGCCAGTGCTTCAGAATTGCTTTTGTTGAAGTCTCCCTTCCAAACTACCTCTGTTCACTAGAAGGATTTGAAATTAGAGCTGATGAATAATCTTTTCCCCCTCCTACTTCACAGCTACTCTTCATCACAGAATTCCTCTATCCCATTTAAAACAATGCTCTCTCCCTCTTCAACAGCCAGGGTTTTAAACCCCCATTCACAATAAAGAAGCATGCAGTTACAACTTCAGGCCTGGCCTTGGCTCCAAAATTCTGTCTCATCTCTGCACAGGCACTAAGTTCAGAAGCAGAAAGAGACAAAAGTAGACTTGAAACTTTTCTCATTGCTAAGGAATCAGCAGCCTCTGCTCAGATCTGTACTCCACAAACAGCACACACCATGACTTTCTGTTGTAGACTGAAGACAAACAGGAAATCCCATGCTATTGCCTTCCTTACCATTCAGGCTGCCTGTTGAAGAGAGCACTGGATGGGTGGATGTAGACAACCTGCTGGTCAATGAGTGTCCTGTACCCTTCCTGGGGATCCTTCTTGGCTGCATTTCTGAAGAAGCCACTGCAAATGGCCTTCTGGACCCGAACTGTGGCCTTCCCACAGGACACCACATCCAGCTTATGCCTGCCAGACAAGAGATAGGAAAGATTAGAGCTTTCCAGATTTGGATGCAGCTACCAAGATGAGTTTAGCAAATTGTTTTAGCTACTACAATGTAAGAACAGCAAGACAGAGTCAGTACTTGTCCTCCTTGTGCTCACCTGTCCATGATGCCCAACATCTGCTTGCGAATGTCCTGAGCCCGGCGTAAGGACCGGGCCTGGATGAAGTTTTCATAGCACCAGGGATTTGAAAACTTATTGTTCTTCCAGGAATTGTACACAGCCAGCAGCGTGAGGTGGTCACCTTCTGTTTGATGGAACTTGGCTTTCTTTTGATCAGCAAGTGCTTGTTTATCCTAACACATAAAACATGTATCAATCAGATATCTGCATCATAGAGAAAATCCCTGGACAATAAGAATGACACAGGCTCCTTGTCATTCATATCATGACATTTTAAACCTATCACAGAACAGATGATACAGGATTAAGACAACACAGA